CCACCATACCGACACATAAAGCAACTACTGTGACACCTCAACACACCGCCATACCGACACATAAAGCAACCACTGTGACACCTCAACACACCACCATACCGACACATAAAGCAACCACCATGACACCTCAACACACCATCATATCGACATCTAAAGCAACTACTGTGACACCTCAACACACCACCATACCGACACATAAAGCAACCACTGTGACACCTCAACACACCACCATACCAACACCTAAAGCAACTACTGTGACACTTCAACACACCACCATACCGACACATAAAGCAACCACTGTGACACCTCAACAAACCACCATACCAACACATAAAGCAACCACTGTGACACCTCAACACACCACGATACCCACACCTAAAGCAACTACTGTGACACCTCAACACACCACCATACCAACACATAGAGCAACCACTGTGACACCTCAACACACCACCATACCGACACATAAAGCAACCACTCTGACACCTCAACACACCACCATACTGACACATAAAGCAACCACTGTGACACCACAACACTCTACCATGCCTGTGGTAGAAACTACTACAACAACAGAAACAGCAACCACACCACCACATACTACAAATAAACATACAACACCACGACTGACAACTGTAATTAATGGCAGCACAAAGCAACATGAAGCTGCAACACCAGCACTGACAACATCACAACAGACTGCTTCTACAAAGCGGACAATACCACATGGTGGCGGTGACACAACAGTACAAACTGCTGAGGGACAGGTAACCAGCATTACAGCAACTCCAGAAAAAATAAAAACAGTGTCGTATTCCAGTATAGAAGTGACACTGACCCAATCCAAAGGTACCAGCTAGTGTGTGTGCATTACAAATATTTCAAAAATGCTTGTTACTTTTATATCTTGACTAAAATATTAGTATGTACATGTAGTTTCTAATAAAATCATATTTTCCTTCTTCCTTTTAATTGATTTAACTTTCATAACATCTAAAAACATTTGAATTAATATATATATATCTGACTTTTATTGCATAAAGTCTCTTCTGACAGATTATTAATATCATGTTTGTACACCTTACAGAATTTTAGCTCCATTAGAATGTTTTACATTATAGTCAGTACTCAATTCTCATTTATTACATGTTTACTCTGATGGTGGCTATTATGGGATTTCAATTTCTGCTAGCCCTCTGGAACAGGTTTGTTGGTCTAGTTTTAATGCGCCACCACATATGTTACAGGGGGGGGGGGCTACTACACATTATCAATTTAGTGTTTCATTATTTCCTGTCTTGCTTAACCCAAAACCTCTTTGCTATAAATAGAAACGACAGCTATCGGATCCACCACTCCTGAGCATGGAGGACCAACTACTGTTGTCATAGAAACTACTTCTGTAAATGGACACACTGAACCATCAATTGGACCTCAATTAACTACTGTTGCCAAGGAAACTACTACTGTAGATGGACATACTGAACCACCTGTTGTCACAGATCCACCCATAGTTCGGACAACTGAACATCAGTTAGAGACGACCACTGCACCACCAACAACAATGACAAAGGATTTAGGCATCCAGACAACTACCAATCAAGTCACCACACAAAGACCAGCACCAACAACTGCACAAGTAACAATTCCATCTCGTCGTAGTAGCATACGAAAAACCACTTCTGTTCTCATGGAAACAACACAAGGGGTCACTCAGCATCCTGGATCTACTGTACCTCCAGCAACCAATCTAGCCACACAACGATCTACTACTACACCAAACAAAGAATTCACAGATACTGATCAACCAACCACAATATCGCAACAATCACCAACAATTCCTAAGGTGCCAACTCATGCGACTTTCTGGACCTCACCTCGTGCTTCACCACGTGATGTGACCACACAGAAATCCAGAGGCTCCACCAAAGGTATGAGTAATATTATTGTTTATATATCTCACAGTGTATTGAGTTTGTGAATGTTTATACTGATTATTTCTGTTCTGTATTTGTGGTAGATTTCACTATGACTGACTTTATGATGACAAGACCTAGTCCTGATTTGTACTGTGAAGCAGCAACAGTCAGGGACATCTATTGGCCGGTTACTATGACAGGGGATACTGCTAAACAGTTCTGTCCTGAGGGAACAACAGGTAAGGAACCACATCTTTGTAGGGGTAGTAGGTTATTAAGGAATATCATGGCTGTCTTCTTGGCTAACAGCAAGTTGATTTATAGTGGGTAGTTGATTACCAATTGTTTGAGACAAGTTACATGTAACAATTAAAACATAAAATTTGAGTTGGACTTTTCTTTTTTGCTCCATCAGGGAAAGTAGAGAAAATGCATGCATAGTTTACTTACTGTCATTATATCTTTGATTAAAAACTGTGTTGCAAATAATTAAAATCCAACACCAAAAAATATTGTTATCACATATCAATACCACGTATCCATGACAATCTACCGCAAGTAAATAGTTCACAGGGGTTTGTGCTACTGTTGAACTCCCTGTAACCTGACATGAATCTAAGCAAATTCACAAGAGAAAAAGGTTTAGATGTGTACTAGTCAGACTAATCTTACAGTGAACTATATCTTTTTTCATTGCTTCAAGAAATACTGTAACTCTCAAATGATTTGTTTTTTTGTATATTTCTTT